TTGTAGAGAAAGGGATGACAAGAGAGTAAGCAGGCAGATTGCAGAGGAAGGGATGACAAGAGAGAAAGTGGGAAGATTGCAGAGGAAGGGATGACAAGAGAGGAAGCAGGCAGAGAGAGTTGAAGTCTTAGCGAAGCTGGCTGGGGGAATTCTGGGAGTTGGAGTCCTCCAGGCTTAAGGGGGCCAAGTTTGGGGATCCCCTGCTCTAAAGAATGGCCAATGTTAACATTAGAAGTGCAGGCTGCAGTTCAACAGGGGAGGCCCGGAGGCACTGCAATGAGCTCTTAAGTCCCCGTTCGTGCCTGCAAAAGTGCTCTCATTGGTTTCGGTAACCATTTGTCTAACCGGGAATCGGGTCTCCTGCTGAAGCTAGAAAGAGGGGTGGACTAGATTAGAGGTCCTTCGAGGTCCTTCCACCCCCGTTCTTGTGTTAGTGGAAACGTTTGGTTCCAGGAGTTGTGGGAGGTTTTTAAGAAGAGGCTGGGCGGCCATTTTGTCTGAAGTGGTAGAGGGTCTCCTGTTTGGGCGGGGGTGGGGGTGGACTAGAAGACCTCCAGCAACTCGGCAGGCCTCAAACACCTGATGAGTTAAGTTCAGGGTCTCGCTGCGCGGGATCCAGGCAGCCGGGATTTTCCGAGGGGCGCGAAACCCCCCCTCCCCCTTTGCGCGCGCGTCTCCCTTGAGTCTCCACGGTTGCAAAGAAAGAAAGAAAGAAAGAAAGAAAACGGAGCCAGCGAGTCCTCCGCCCGGGGTTTGGGAGGATGGGAGGTCATCCAGTCGTTCCCCACGCCCGGTGTGTGGAAATTGCGGGCTTTCCCCCGCCCGCGAAGCAATGAATGCAAGGAAGCGCCGCTCCCTTTCCACGGAGCAAGGCTGCCCCCGCGTGGCTCAAAGCCTCTTCCCACCTGCGATTTTCCTGCCCCCCGCCCCCTAGCGGCGCGCTCGGGTACTGCTAGCTAGAGGGGTTTTGCTTGCTGCCCTCTGGCGGCCGTGCGAGGCTTGGTGGCTGGCGATCCTTTTCTTTCTCCTCCACCAGCTGGGCGCCTGTTTCCGAAGTTCTGCTGTGGAAACCGGGGGGCTGAACCTGGGGCAAAGGTGGGGAGACCCCTCCCCAACCGCCACGCTACTCATTGACTTGCGGACGGTAACCAGGTAAGGAAGATGGGGGTGGGGTGGACAGGGGGCGGAGCTCAGAGTCTTCTTTCCTCTTCCCCCCCTTCCAAGGAATCGCGCGAAGGCTTGCTAGGATGCCGCGCAAGGCTGCCAACCCGAGCTCGCGAGGCGAAAGGACACGAGTTTGTGCCGATGGGGGTCGCAGAGCAGCTGGGGGGTGGGGGCGGTAGGGTCTCTAGAAGGGGTTGAAGAAGCCCCGCAGGAGAGAAGCGGTGCGGCCGGGTGGGGGGGTGGGGAGAGAAAGAGAGAGAAAAGGAGAGAAAATGGGAGGGAGGGAGAGAGAAAAAAGAAAGAAAGAGAAAGGGAGCCAGGGAG